TTCTTTTTAAATTGTTTTTTACAGAATTATTTTTAACCACATATTCACATAATAAAATATTCGACACGTAACTCTAAAATTTTTGCTTCTTTTTTAATCACAAATTATCCTAAAAATACTATTCAAAACTCTCTTTTAGAATGACAATCAAACAGGATCTTAAGTAGGGATGTCAATTGGGCCTCGCCAGCTCGGCTCGTGAAAAAGATGCTCGTGGGCGGCTTGGGCTCGTGATTTCACGAGCCAAGCTGGCCTCGCCTGGAGGCGAGCTGAGCCCGCTCGGCTCGTCGTCCCGACTCGTGGCTCGTTAAAAATAACGGCTCGTGGCTCGTCAAAAGTGACGAGCCAGTGACCAAAACGGTCGCAAAAGTGACCGTTTGGTCAATGAACTTTTTTTTCCTCCCCATTTTTTTACTATAAATACCCCCTTCCCCCAAATTTTTTTTCATATCAATTGCTCTTCCAAGATTACAACTCTCTCAACTCTCTTTTATTATATCAATTATCGAATTTTTACTCTCTTGTACTGCAAAATATACAATATCAATTCAATTTTTCTAGTTTATTAGTTACAATTTCAATTCATCCAATTCTCAATTCTCACAATCTCACTACATTTATATTCATTTAGTCAAGATTTCATCATAAACAATCACAGAAATGGATCAACGTTTATTTGTTGAGAGCTTGTTCGATACAGGATGTGAGCCATTGCCACATCATGGAGAATCACCTAGGACGCTGCAAAATCAATTTCCAAATGAATTTGCCGGTCTAAATGACATACCGATACCTGAAGATGTTCACATTCACGGTCTGGGAAGCCACACTCCAATTGATTTGGATGATATTAACATTCCTGAAACGGAATATGAAGATGAAGATCAGCAATTAAATATCCCAGATGCGAGGGGAAAGCGAAAGGCCAAAAAACAAGCAAAATGTTGGGATCACTTTAAGTTGATTTCAACGGGAAAAGTCATTGATAGCCTTGCAGAATCTAAAACAGTATGTAAATACTGTCAACAAAGATTGGCATGACAAAAAGGAATTGGTACCACTCATCTCAACCGCCACTACAAATCATGTGCAGCCAGACATGGACTTCTTCTAGCTGGTCAACCACAATTACAATTTGGCAATTCAGGCGCCGGTTCTATAACTTCACCCCTATCCACGTGGGTGTATTTGGAGAACGAGACTCGAACCGGAATGGTGAAATTTGTTGCCGCCACTGAGTTGCCTCTGGCTATTGCAGACAACCAACACTTCGTCTTGTTCGTGAAAGAATATCTACAACCGAGGTACGTTGGGGTAAGTCGTAACACTCTTCATGCCGATACAATAAATTATTTCGATAATTCAAAACAACAATTAATTATGAATTTACAACAATATGGGGATGTTATATCCTTAACTTCTGATATATGGGAAGAGGTTAATAAAAGAGCATATATAGCTGCAATCGCACACTATATAGACCCATTTTGGTGCATGCATAAGAAAAGTATTGCTTTTAGAATTATTGAATTTCCTCACAATATTAATAATATATATAATGCTATTATCAGTATTGTTAGAGAATATTATTGTGAGAGTAAAATTCGATCTTTTACTTTTGATAATGCTAGCGTTACTAAGGTAGTCATCGATAAATTGTGTAGGACACTTCAACCTGATTTTGGTGGGTATTTGTTTCATATTCGTTATGTGTGTCGTATCTTGAATTTAATTGTGCAAGATGGTTTAAAACATATAAATGATGAACTTCAAAGAATTAGGAATGCATTAGTATATATTACGATCTCTCCTAATAGAAAACAAGCATTTAAAGATTTTTGTGCCGATTTAGGGGTGATGACTGCTAAAACATTTGTTAGCGACATAGGTCATAAATGAAACTCTACATACTTGCAATTAAAATCATGTGAAAGTTTCGAAAATTTAATAACTGACTTTTATAATAATAGTCATGTTAGAAGTGATGATGATGGTATGTTAAATGAATCCGATTGGATTTTAGCTTTGAAAGTTAAAAGATTTTTGACATCTTTTTATGAGACCACAAAAATTTTATCCGGCGTTTATTATCTCACAAACCGTATGGTGCTTGAACGTCTTTATATAATTGCAGGAACATTCCATAAATATAAAAATGATCTTGCTTTTATTGAAATTTTAATTGCCGTGGAATTAAAGTTTAGAAAATATTGGGAAGAACTGCCTATGTTATTTCCTTTAGCATGCGCAATGGACCCCCGATATAATATTTTGGGAACTAAATACGTAATTGATCAAATCAATAAAACTTTAATACTTGATACACCTATCACCTATAAGAATTTAGAGCAAACATTATGTGGAATGTATGATTTATATGCGGAAACAATGGGTGCAAATGTTAGTCTGGTACCCTCTGCTGCACCTACTCCTGCTGAAATTGAAAAAGATGCTGCAGAAATAATGAATTTATTTTAGGGCATTAATACATTTAGATATGATGCAACTGAAATGTGTTCATCGAGTGCCATGTCGTCTACATCTGCATCTCATCAAACATCGACCGAAACTCAAAATGTGATGCCTGTCGAATTAATTGATTATTTCAATCATAATATGCCAACAGACAGAACAATTAAAAAATTTTCAGAAGAAGTAATTGAATTCTGACAAAAGTATGAAAGACGTTGGCCAATTGTTTCTGCAATTGCAAAAGATCTATTGACACCTCTGGTTAGCACTGTTGCTTCGAAGTCTGCTTTTAGTGCAGGTAAAAGGGTTTTGACTGATGTCAGGAGTCGACTGAAAGAAGATGTTTTGAAAGCGTTAATGTGTGTGAATGATTGGCAGAGCGCTCATTTTCGACTATAAGATAAATACACTGAAAGTGCATGTCGTCAGGTAAGTGATATTTGATTTAATTATATTAATCAAAATTTTTTTTATTTTTTAATCGTTAAATTTAATTTTTGTTAAAAAATTGTACACGTTACAACAAGTTGTTCGTGCACAATTTTTAACTCCGCCTACTTAAAATTGATGTAGCCGGTCCCAAGCTCGGATAAAGAATGAGGGTTTACATTTTATTAACTTTAAAAAGAAATCAAAAAAATATATTTTTTGTAAATGTATTTCAAAAAATAATTCTTTTTCATTATATAAATATTTTATACTTTATAAAAAGTATTACAAATTACAATATGATATAAATAAAAAAAATAAAAACTTGTTTTCGTTAAATTATTTGTATTTTTTAACACTTTTGATTTTTAAAGCTCTATTCTTTATTTTATATATAAAAAAAAAGGCGGGCCCACGAGCCGAAGCTCGGCTCAGCCCACGATCTCGGACGAACCACGAGCTCGTGGGCCGAGCCAAGCTCAGCTCGTTGAAAACGAGCCACGAGCACGAGCCGAGCTCGTGACATTAAGGGCCGAGTTGGCTCGGTTCGATCCATTGTCAACCCTAATCTTAAGCATAGTAAAATGTTAGTATTGTGTATTGTACGAGAACATGTTTATAGATTTTACTTTCATTTACAAATAAAGAAATAAGTGTCATACTGTCAAACCATAATGGATATGTGCAATTTCTTTCTTTTTCTTACACAAATTCTTTAAGTCAAATATTTATAAAGAAAATTTCAAAGCATATAATATTTGATATGGTTAATAGCAGAAAACGTCCCTACGTTTGACACTTATTGTGGAAAATGTCCATACGTTTCATTTTTTTGCATTTTCGTCTTTATTTCAATGTTTCATTGCTAAAAACGTCATTTTCATTGTTTTTTAATATAAAATGATCAAAATATCTTCCTATTTAAATAAAACCAAAAAGAAAAGAAAAGAAAAGAAAAGAAAAATAAAGAATAAATCGCAATTTTACTCCTAAATATTTTAAAAAGTGCAAGTGAGTCCAAATAATTATTAAAAGGCCTAATAGTACAAAACGTCCCTACGTTTGGCATGTAGTGTGCAAAACGTCCCAACGTTTCAAATGGATGAAAATGACTTTTTCCCAATAAAACGTGAAAATAGGGATGAAAATGCAAAAAAATTGAAACGTATTGACTTTTTCACAATAAGTGTCAAAGGTAGGGACGTTTTTTACAAGAAGTGTCAAACGTAGGGATGTTTTGTGCTATTAGACCTAGGATACGCATATTATGGCCACATGGACTACATAAGTACATAATGCAGCTACACATTTTCCTTAAAAAGTGAACTAGCAATCATCAATAAATGAATAAAAAGGATAGTGGAGAAATCTTATTTCATATAGACGTTTATAAAAAATTTGAAAAACTATTAAATATTTCATCATTATACATGTAAATGCCAATTATGCCCTTTCCTATGTAACACGTTCGACGGTGAATGTGAAACTTAGGTAGTAAGATACCAATTAGCTTCCGTAGGGTAAAATTTTCAAACTTAATTCTCAATTACATATTATAATATTATCCATAAATTATTTTATTTATTTAAAAATTTAATAATATCTTCCGATGCTAAAATTTAGCGTAAATGTAAAATTGAGAAAACAAAAAATAAAGGATGAAAAAATTATAATTAATTCAGCAACCAAATAAAATATGTCACACAACTGTTATGCCCTCTTCCAGATGTTACACAAGCTTCAACCTTTGACTTTCCAGCCAGAAGAACATAAATAGAGTAACCAACCAAAGTAACAAGCAAATCAAAATTTAACTCCGATTTGCCTATCATTATTCAAAAACTCCTTTTTTTTTTTTTTTTTTTTTTGATAAACTTATTTTCAACCACATATTTTCACGATAAAATATTTTGCTCATAAATCCAAAAATTTTCCTTACTCTTTAACCACACCTTCTTCAAAATATCCTATTTCAAAATTCAATTTTCTAAAAACACTTTTTTTAAATGAACATAAAACATGGGCATACGAAAGTTGGTAGAACAGGAATATAATACAGACATCCAGAAGAATCTTAAACGGTGTCGCGAAGAGCAAAAAGTGTGCTTTAATTTTGACTGGTGTGTAAGGAAGAAGCGTAAAAGTAGGGGGAATATACCGATGAAGATCCTGGTTGGTGGCTTTATTTAAATACCCACCGATCAATTTCACCTCTACACATACATGATTACATACGCATATAAATACCAGATTTCAACATAGATAATCATAAGTTCGCACAAGAGTTTCTCTCTCTACTCTTTTGCTTCTGATCTTGATCCAGAAACAAACAGGTTGGTTGTGTGTGTGTGTGTGTGTGTATATATAGAGAGAGACAGAGAGACAGAGAGAACTTTTGCATTTTTATGTGCATGCATTATGATTTAAACACAGATATACGGTTTTTTTTTTTTTTTTTTTTTTTTTTTTTTTTTTTGGGATTCTTTGTCGTGTTATTCATGCAAAGGTGATGGCGATGGGTATTTTTTCTAATGGATGTTTACAGATTTTAGATGTTTATGTAGACTTTTTACATGTTTTTTCCCTCGATTTAAAATAATAATAATTTCATTTTTTCTACAATGGAAATGAAATATGATCTTCATTCTGCCCGTGTTTTCTTTCTTCCTTTGGTGGAGAGAATTTGAGATTTGGATCAGAATTTGTCAATTAGATAAGCAGAAAGTGGATTTTTGCTTATAGTCCAATTTCTGCTTATAGTGTGATTTTATTTGTTGTATGTCCCACCTTGTGAGGGTGAGTGGGGTAGGGCGGGTAGGAAGAGATTCTCCCGGAATATACCTTTTTGGCCTTTTGTCTTCCAGTTGTATTATTCTGTGGACTTCTCGCTTTTCTATAATATTGATTCATATACCTTTTATAGTTCTACTATTTATAACATTTAATTTATTTGATTGCAAAATTTATTATATTTCTTATAATAATGATTCATTAATGGCTGATTATTGTCATTCCCCGCAATTATAGATTTTAGACGATGATTTTGCACAAATTCGTCAGGAAAAAATCTATGACGATTCATTAATGCTTGATTATTTGGCATCTAATTATAGATTTTAGACAATGTCACCTAGACAAATTTATGAACGAAAAATCGATGTTTATGAATCTATGGAACAGTCATAGGATGCTCGATTTCTGATCTTTTGATAATCGGGTTGTTAATTTTGTTGCTCGACTTTGTAGGTAATTGGTGAGAGGAAGAGTAGAGGGAGAGACAAAAGAAGCAATGGCAGCAGACAATTTGAAGGTGCTTAATGCACTAGATGTGGCAAAGACGCAATGGTACCATTTTACTGCGATTATCATTGCTGGAATGGGCTTTTTCACGGATGCATATGATCTTTTCTGCATATCTTTAGTTACTAAGATGCTCGGTCGGATATACTACCATGTTGATGGCTCGAAAAAACCGGGCAGTTTGCCTCCCAATGTATCGGCTGCTGTCAATGGTGTGGCGCTGTGCGGCACGCTTGCTGGCCAGCTTTTTTTTGGGTGGTTGGGCGACAAAATGGGTAGGAAACGAGTTTATGGCGTGACTCTCATGTTAATGGCCGTGTGCTCGCTTGCCTCGGGACTTTCTTTTGGAAGTGAGCCGAAATCAGTAATGGCGACTCTATGTTTCTTTAGGTTCTGGCTTGGCTTTGGGATTGGTGGTGATTATCCACTCTCCGCGACTATCATGTCTGAATATGCGAATAAGAAAACGCGTGGAGCGTTCATTGCCGCTGTTTTTGCTATGCAAGGTTTCGGGATTCTGGCCGGTGGCATTTTTGCTATGATAATTTCGGCTGCATTCAACGCCAAGTTCGAGGCTCCAGCTTATGAAGTCGATCCAATTGCCTCGACTGCTCCACAGGCAGACTACATTTGGAGGATAATTTTAATGGCCGGCGCACTTCCAGCTCTATTAACGTACTATTGGCGGCTTAAGATGCCGGAAACTGCTCGTTACACCGCCCTTGTTGCCAAGAACATGAAACAAGCCGCAGCAGATATGTCTAAGGTTTTGCAAGTTGACATTGAGGCCGAGCAGCAGAAAGTGGAGTCGGCAGTAGAAGAGAAAAAATCGTTTGGTCTATTCTCAAAGGAATTTCTTCGTCGTCATGGGCTGCACTTGCTAGGAACAACAACGACGTGGTTCTTGCTCGACATTGCATTTTATAGCCAAAATTTGTTTCAAAAGGATATTTTCAGTGCTATTGGTTGGATTCCTCCCGCGAAAACAATGAACGCGATAGAAGAAGTTTTTAGAATTGCACGCGCACAAACTCTTATTGCACTGTGCAGTACTGTCCCGGGATACTGGTTCACCGTGGCATTAATCGACGTCATTGGAAGATTTGCCATTCAATTGATGGGATTCTTCTTCATGACAGTATTCATGTTTGCTCTTGCCTTTCCTTACAACCACTGGACACACAAAGACAACCGAATTGGCTTTGTCGTTATGTACTCGCTTACCTTTTTCTTCGCTAACTTTGGGCCAAATGCAACAACATTTGTCGTGCCGGCTGAGATTTTCCCGGCTAGACTGCGATCTACATGCCATGGTATATCAGCTGCATCTGGAAAGTTGGGAGCAATTGTTGGTGCTTTCGGGTTCTTGTATCTAGCTCAAAACCAAGACAAGGCAAAGGCTGATGCTGGGTATCCAGCAGGAATTGGAGTAAAGAATTCGCTCATCGTGTTAGGCGTAATCAACTTGTTGGGCTTATTATTCACTTTCTTGGTTCCAGAATCAAAGGGAAAATCTCTCGAGGAAATGTCGGGTGAAAATGAGGACACAGAATGAATCAAATAGCTTAAAACAGTTCAAGTAGTATGAAAGAGTACGTATAAGGTTTGTTTGGTAAGGTTGGCTACACAACATCAGACCGTATGCTCAATTAGAAAGAATTCTATCAAGTACTATATACCGAAAATATTCCTGGCGTTGCATTTAACTTTTTCAATTGTTTGTTGCTATCTTTTTTTTCTGGAATTATTCGGTTTTCGTTCTGTTTGCAAGCCTAGTTTCTTAAGGTTAAGCTTTTGAATCTTTACTTGTAACATCAGGTGAATTCTAGTGTAACTTCCTGCTGTTATTATCTGGTAGTAGTGTGTTTATGAATAAACCAGATTGAGCTAATGCGGAAATATTGAATCTTGGAATGCCGGATGAATAACTGTATACGTACATCTCTACTAAATAAGAGAAAAGGCACGAGGAACATATTTAGCTCCTCTCGAGTTAGAGTGTGAAGATTGCGAATGCCCAACTTGCACAGAATGTGTAATTTGAATTTCACCAAAAATGGTAGCGACTGCATCAATATTTAGTCTTTGTAGAGCCTCGAGAGACTATATTTCACTTCTTCAACTTCCATGAAATTGCAGAAAGCAACTACTTCATCAAAGATACTAACCGAACATGCCATATGGTAGAAAGCAAATCTTGTTCAAGTTTATGTTCATGTGATTAATGTAAATAACTAGCATTTAAGTGTGTATTGATTTAGTTGGAAAGTAAGTACTAAATTATACCTATAAGCGCACCGATAGGTTATTTAAAAAAAATTTAGTATAAAATTATAATCGTAGCAAGTTAAAATGTTATTACAAAGTATTGATAATTAAAATGCCTCAGCCTAGTCAAAATGCACTAAGATTATACTTATATCGTTATAAAGTATTATTAATTTTGAAATTACAATAACTTTTACATTTTTATCTTCATTTTCAGAACTTCATGAATAAATTCGAATAAAATAATAAAACATATAAAAACTTAAAACAGTGTTGGACCGATTCACTCATACCCCAATTAATTCATATTGGCCAAGGCCGATTTACACCTCTATACCTATCACCTCTTACCACCAAGTAAAAATAGTTGAGATTCTAAACCATGACCTTCTTTAATTAGGGGATGGACATTTTGATACATAATTCGACTAAACATATCCAGTCGGTTCAAGTATATTCTAAGCAACTTTTTAATTTGAATCAAATAGATTTAGGCTTTGTATATGCGCATTGGTTTGGATTTCGGGTTCTGCAATCAAATCTATCTGTACCAGACCCAAATAAAATTTTCTTCATTTCAGATTGAATGAAGTTATTTATTGTTATGATAATGGAACAAAAGGGATGTGATAGTCTATGTGGAATAATAGGAATGGGCAGTTCAATTTTTATGAGAGTGAAGGGAGGAGATGTGGTCTCAAGAAAGAGAAATGTGAGGGATAATGAGTTGTTACATTACGGATATTTTATCATCATGATGATAAGTAGTATTATTCTTTCAGATTAGATCCTTATTTGATGTGATTAAAATCAATTTTTTTGTATATTTTGATGGAAATTAAAGAAATGTGTAGTTGAAAAGTTATATATTCTATGAAATGTGTGGTTGAAAGAATAAGTAAAAGTCAGAAACAAAATGTTGCCAAACCTTATTCTCAAGCCGATTGAAGTGAACCCTAGCTCTCGCTGGCTGAGCAGGGCGTTGCACCACCATTTCCTCTACTTGCACTACCATTCCCATCGCCACCAAACTCGTTATTTGTAAGGAATCGTGTCCATCCCTCTTTGGAATTCTGTTATTTGATATTTTGATGGTGTTGCAGGAATATTTTGCCCTGGTTGCGATCCAATCGTAGTTGTGACTTGGGCCAACCTGACCTACCAAATTTGATCGAAGTCCTAGAATTTAATTCTCGAATTCGATCATCGAATCCGAAGGAAAATCTACCGTTGAATTTTAACTTTCTTATATTCACTTTCCAAAATTTGTCTTCTAATCACATAGAGCAATTTTTATTTTTTATTTTTTTCTTTTCTTTTCAGGGCTAATGATAAGTGTATTTTATACACTTATTCAGGATCTTAAACAGCGATGTTTAGTTGTTCCTCTAATAAAATATATTCCAAATTGTTGTATTTTGTGTTAAACATGTAACCTTCAATAGTTTAACAAAGAATTGGAAAGGAAGAAGGACATTGATTTCACAATTGATGAATTCAATGACAAAATTGCATTATTCGAGAAAGAGAAAACCTTGGAGAGAAATTTTGCATTAAATAGACAATAGAATTAAATGGGCCTCAATTGGATTTGCTTTGGAATCCAAATTCAACAATTGCTATCACTTCAATTAACAAAAGTGGTGGGCTGCTAGAGAAACCAAAAAGGGCAAGAAGACAAAAGAAAAAGGTCGGGGAAAGAGATTAATATATGAATAAAATTACTTGTACAAAGTTGGGTTACAAAGTGTGTTGGCAAAATCTAAGTCACTGATTTCAAATGATTTAAAAATCTGTTTTTGAAATTATTGGTCTGAATGTGATTTTATCATCCAACTTTATCAACTCCCTTTGTAAATATATCATAACTCTTAATATATACACACCATACAGAAATCAGAACAGTCTTTTTCTTTTTGAGAGTCAAACATTGAGGTTGAATAGATATATACATGCAGACACATGAAAACAAAAGAAAGAGGCAATTACAAACGTGCAAAAAGACGACAGAGAAAAAATTGCAAAAATTAATCACGTTCCGTCAATTTTTGATAACGTCTTTTATCTCTTCTTTCTCTAATTTCGACAATATACTTTACTAGATTTTCATATTTCTAGGACGTGATAAACCCTTGTTATGAGGATTTTGGTTTAAATAATTGAATTGACATTAATTTGTTTGAACGTTTGGAAGTTTATCATTGATTAATTTGCTTTTCGATTAATTGGCAAATAGTTGAATTGTTTGTAAATTTTATTAATATCGAGAGAGATATAGAACCGATAGCACATAGTGAAAAATATTGTGAGGTTCGATTGAGAATAGAGATATACCTGTATGCTTTACATGATTTTATAGATGTTCTAACTCGTCTAATGCTTTTTTACAAGTTAGTAATTTTCATAGAGAAATAGGAAAGTTACGTGTAGGATTAGATTTAATTACTATTGAGAGAAGCTTTTAAATAAAATCATAACATTGACCAATAAACATGATTTCAAATTATCAATTTAAATCGTTGAACTAAAAAAAATGAATTAACAAAGGGGATTCTACATCTTAGCAATACATCCCACAAATTTGATAACTTTTATTTTGCTTTCAATTTAGCTATAAAATTAGACATTGATTTTACTACAACTATAATTTGTTATTCAATCAAGGGTACTAATAGATATAACTCAATCAAACACGTAGTCCTCATGGATTCGACACTTAATTCACCATTATATTACTTGCTCATGATTCCGTCCACTTGTGGAAAATCAAACGACCAAATTTTTTATCTTGTTGGCAAAGACTATTGTTTTTTATAAGTTTTAGGTAATTTTAACCTTAATTTGAATTTGAATTTTATTTTTTCTTTTTTAGTTTAGTTTATTATATTAGAAAAAATTTACAGTATTTATTGTTTTCTTTTCAAGGACTTATATGCGAAGTCCAAGACTAGGGACCATGCTCAATTTGACTCGGAGATTGAACGGATATTCAACTTTCGAAAAAGACAACAGTTGAAAACATACCAAAAATAGAAAGGTGAATACATGGCAAATGAAAATCCAAATCAAATAGCCATCAGGGCTAATCTAGTAGTAGCACAACCGAATATAGTTTCAGCGAATGAAAATGCAAAGCTCATGGGAGAGTATATGTTTCCACCGATTGTGAAAAGCCAATCCTATATTGTTTATCCGATGTTTGGTCAAGCAAACTTCCTCCTAAGAACAGATATTATCAACATGTTCCAAAATGTGCTACAATTCTTTAGAATAATTCCAACGCTCATATATCAAGATTTTTGGACATATGTGCAACAATTGAGTATCCGGGATTTTCAAGGGAAGCAATCAGACTAAGGCTATTCTCATACACATTGAGGGACTTAGCAAGGGAATGATTAGACACTTATCTACCACAGAGTATCACAACATGAAACCAATTCAGTAAAAAATTTCTTAGCAAATATTTTTCATCGAAAAGGATTACAACGCTAAGGGACGAGATCACTATTTTTCAGCAAATGGACTAAGAAGAAGGCCAAAGGAGAATGTTTTAAGGGTGGAAAACCTGGACACTATGCAAAGGAGTGTAGATACTGAAAACAAAACAACTTCAAAGGTAAGGTGAATTCCTTCCTAGAAGATAAAATTGTGATTACCGTAAGTGAAATAAACAAAATCAAAGGAAAGATTCCCAGTTTGTGATATGATACTTGTGCTACTATACATATATCACATGTCAAATCTTTGTTCAAAACATACCATGAAGTGAATGAAGACCAAGAGATTTAGATGGGTAACAAGGTTCGATCTAAAGTGATTGGAAAGGGAAATGTGGACATCATCTTCACTTCCAAAAAAATCGTTACTTAAACAAATGTACTACGCATTCCTTATATGAATTTGGAACTTGGTAAATGGAAATCTCTTAGGAAAATCGGGCATTAAAATTGTCTTTGAATCTGGTAAACTTGTATTATCTCTTAGCGAAAAACTTGTTGGAAAATGCTATGCTAGTGAAGGAATGACCAAATTGTATACTATTAACAAGTTTAATGATAATAGAACTAATTTTGCATATATTATTGATTTATTTTTTTATGGCGTGCTAGATTATGTCATATAGGTAAAAGCACTATGAAACGTATGAGGATATGTGACTTGATTTCATATGATAAAAATAATGTACCTAAATTTCAAACACGCGTAGAATCGAAAATGGTTAAAAAGCCTTATCAAAGTGTAAATTAAACATATGATGAAATGTGACTTGATTTCATATCTGTGAATTAAATGGTATGTTGACTAGAGGTAGAAATAGGTACTTCATTACATTTATCGATGATCACTCAAGCTATACATATGTTTACTTGATGAAGCATAAACATAAGGATTTTGTTAAGGTATATAAGAATGAAGTTAAAAATCATATAGGAAAGAAAACAAAGATATTAAGAAGTGATAGAGGTTGTGAGTATTTTTCTAGTGACTTTAACTTGTTTTGTGAACAACATGACATAATTCACCAATATTTTGCACTTTAGACACCCGAACAAAATGATTTAGCTGAAAAGAAAAATAGAACCTTAGTTGAAATGATCAATGCCATGCTTATCTATGTTAAGTTCCCATTTAACTTGTAGGATGAAGCCTTGTTGAGTGCATGTAAGATACTTAATAGGAATCCTTCAAAACATGCAAATGTTTCTCCTTATGAATTGTGGAAAGGAAGAAAATCGAACATTAAATACTTTAAAGTATGATGGTGTCTTGCTTACTGCAAAAACACGAATCCTAATAGGACTAAATTAAGTCCTAGAGACATAAAATATGCTCTTGTTGGATATGCTAGCAATAGCAAATCTTATAGGCTGTTGAATTTGGAGACCGATGTGATTATTGAATCCAATGATATTAAGTCCTTCGAGAATTCGTTATCTTCGAATAATGAATTGAGGGAAAATCCTAAAGATATCCCTAGCTCAAGTAGAACACAAGACAAGACATCTTCGAAAGATGTTGGTAAGACTAGTGAGCTACGAAGAAGCAAGAGAACTCGAGTTGAGAAGTTTTTAGGACCGAATGAAATTGATTCTCAACTTATCTCCTTTTACTTAGTAGAAGGTGTTAGATTTCGTGTTGGCTATTCTGTGAACAAAAGGGTAAAATTGTGGATGTTCAAAAGTTTGGGATCAATTTGTCAATAGTTAAAGGTTATGGGTTATTGTGTACATGTGTAAAGGATGAGGGACTCAGTTGCAATTTTGACAAAGTGTGCTAGGGTTCGAGCCATGAAGGAGGTCAAGATGTGTCATTGAAGTTTTGCTAGTTTCTTGCCAAGTGGTCGTTCGAGCAACAAAAATAGAAAAGTCGTTAGCTTTTTGTTCGAGTGATAGGGTTACCCATAAAACTCTATTTTTCTTTTTTCGACATTTTAACCCGACCAAAAGATACAAATACACTGCATATAAGAAAAATTGCGCCGAAATTCAGTTGTGCTCTTAAGGGATTTAAATTGAAGAAAACTCTCTACACTTTGATCCTCTTATTCAACCCCATATTTGATTTGAGCAATTAAATAAAAAATATCAAATCAACATTCACCAAACACCACAACACAACCTTCTAGAGCCTTTTTTGATTCTTGGAGATCGAGGAAGGAGATCGGAGTCCCGATCATTAGAGAATTGGCGGTTCTCTTGAATCCACGAGAGATAGACAAAATCAAGAGCCTAGAATTGGTGTAGCACGCAATCTAGGAGGGCTAGGTGTCGGGAATTGGTGCAGAATCACGTATTCCAGGAAGGCTTTGAGGAAACTATGGTCAGGATGTCAGAAAAATCAGTGTAAGTTGAGTCTAGCTGATTGTAAGTTTCATTTTCGTTTATAGTAGATTCCTACTGGCTTGGGCCCGGAGTTTTACCCACATTAGGGTTTCTCCGTCATCAAAAAATTATGTTATTTATCTTTCTGCAATTAATTTAAGATCGGTATTCAAATATAGGATAGTAAAATATGTGAACTGATCTGGACAAATTAATATTTGTGATGTGTTGCAATTATTAATTGATTGAAAAAGAAAATTTCTCATAAACACCTATTCACCCCCCTCTAGGTGTTGATTGGGTCGAACTACAATATTTCAAGTGGTATCAGTGCCAAATCTTGAGTTCTAACCTATAGTTGTCTAGATAAGTCAATCACTGTCTGTGCCTTCGTATTTTGACGGAAGCAACTATGCCTATTGGAAGGTTAGAATGCTTGCGTTTCTTAAGTCCCTAGATGAACGTGTCTGGGTGAGTGTACAAAATGGTCGGAAACCTCCTTCCACAACTGTGTCAGGTGTTGTAACCCCAACTGACATTTCCCTTTGGACAAAGGATGAATTGGCTGAATGCAATTGGAATAGTAAAGGTCTCCATGCATTATTCATGTATGTATCTCCTGAAGAGTTTAGAAGAGTGTCAATGTGCGACACTGCTAAAGAAGTATGAGACATTCTTGAGACAACGCATGAAGGAACTAAAACTATGAAAAATTCTAAGTTGCAAATGCTAGCCTCAAGGTTTGAAGAAATCGAGATGAAAGACGATGAATCTTTTGATGAGTTCTATGCCAAATTGAATGACATTGTTAACTTTAGCTTCAACCTAGGTGAGAGGATTCCCGAGTCCAAAATTGTGAGGAAAGTTCTTAGATCCTTATCTGAGAGATTTAGACCTGAAGTTACAGCTATTGAAGAAAGCAAGAATCTGGATACAATTAAGATAGAAGAACTCGAAGGATCCCTTCAAACCTATGAACTCACCATTTCACAACTAAGGAAAAACAAGTCCATAGCCTTGAACACTGTTAAGGAAGGAGAGTCTGAGTCATCTGACGTGGAAACTCTTAGAGATGAAGAGATTGCCTACTTTGTGAAAAAATTTCAGGAAGTCTTAAAGGGCAAAAAATGGCCTCAAGAGGAAAGGAGGGGAGCCCCTAGTAAATTGCAAAGAGAAAAGGATGATAAATCAACTGCTAGGAACCCTGGTAAGAAATCTCAAGTGGTTAGGTGTTATGAGTGTCAGGGATTTAGGCACTATAGAAATGAATGTCCTAGTTTTAAGAAAAATCTAAAGAAGGGGAGTAACAAGGCATTAGCTCTGTCTTTGACTAATGATGATTCTAATTTCAGTGAACAAAGTGATTCCTTAAGCAGTGAGGAAAAAAAGGGCTATATGACTTTTGTATCTACTGTCAAAAGTGAGTCAGACAAGGAGAGTGAAAAGGTTGAAGAGGAAGTGGAGAGTAACAAGTTCGGTGATGATTCAGAGGATGAGACGGATATACATGAGGCTTATCAACTTTTGTTTAAGGAAAGTCTCAAGATCAAAAAGGTAAATAAAACTTTATTTAAGAAGGTAGACGAGCTTGAGAGAGAGAAGGAGAAAATCACCTATGATCTACAAGTCTCATCTAAGAATCTCAGTGAGTTGAAGTGTGTCAATGAGAAATTAGAGGACAGAGTCAAGACATATGACTTTTGAATTAGAGAAATCCAGCACTCAACTACAGTCATTTGTGAGTGGAACTAAGAAACTAGACGATCTGTTAGGCATGAACAAACCAGCTGGAAATAGGCAAGGTCTGGGATTTGTGAAGAGTGATAGCAATGTGTCCAGTTTATCCAAGACCACATTTGTCCCTGCTTCCAACAGATCTAATGTTTCAACAAATCCAGAATCCAAAGACAAAAATTTCACTGGACTGAAGGCCACTAGAGCTCATAAGATGTCTACACCTAATTTTCATGATCAACACTCACGTGCATCTGAACCTAGGTTCATACCCACTTGCATCACTGTGGTGCCTTAGGCCACATGAGACCTAGGTGTCAAAAGCTAGCAAATAGGAATCGAAGTCAGGATATCCCTATTCAAGTAAACTTTCTTTCAAATCAGGTTAGCCACTTAACTGAGATGGTAACGAGGTTGACTAGGATCACCTCAAACTCGAGAAAAGTTAGGGTAAAGAAATCTGATGTGGGTGAGTATACTAAGAATCTAAAATGTTTTGTTGCTCATGTTGCATATAAGGCTCAAAATACATGCATGTGGTATCTTGATAGTGCTTGTTCTAGACACATGTGTGGAAACAACGCCTTATTCTCTACTTTTGATGACTGCAATGGCGGTGTAGTTACTTTTGGGGACGGAGCTACTGCACCCATCCGAGGTAAAGGCTCCATCACCATTGTTGGACTTCCTACAATATCCAATGTACTTTATGTAGAGGGTCTTACAACTAACTTATTGAGCATTAATCAAATCTGTGATGCTGAATATTAAGTGAGTTTTGTCCAAAAGAGATGCACTAATTATGACGCTTTTAGTGGTGTTGTTCTTAAAAGTGTTAGAACATCTGATAACTATTATGGATTCTTCCAAACTCGAACTATGTATGCAGTAGTGCTAAAATTGATATGTCTGAACTTTGGCATCAAAGGCTTGGTCATGTTTACTACAGAAGTCTGTCTAAATTGGTCAAAAAGAAGATTGTCGATGGTTTACCTAAGATTGATCAAAGTGAGAATGCTGTGTGCAAGCCGTGTCAACAAGGAAAGCGACTCAGGATGAACCATAAGTGAACCTCGAAAATCTTGACGAATAGATACTTAGAGCTTCTCCACATGGATTTAATGAGATCATCTAGGGTAGAGAGCCTAGGAGGCAAACGGTATATTCTGGTTGTGGTAGTTGACTTTTCTAGATACACTTGGATTGAACTGTTAAGAGAAAAATCTGAGACGGGTGATCTGGTTAAATCCTTGTGTAAAAGACTCAAAGTTGAACAAAATCTTCCTATTTCTAGGGTTCGAAGTGATCATGGGAAAGAATTTGAAAACTTCAATCTAGAAAACTTCTGTTTGGAGGAGAGGATTAAGCATAAGTTCTCTTCACCAATCACTCCACAGCAAAATAGAGTTGTTGAGAGGAAGAATAGAGTGCTTCAAGAAATGGTTGGGGCCATACTTCACGGCAAGGATCTAGCAATGCATTTCTGGGGTAAAACTATTAACACCACGTGCCACATAGTAAATAGGGTATACTTGAGACCGAAATCAAACAAGACTCCCTATAAGATCTAGAAAGGCAAGAAGCCTACTGTTAAATATTTTCGGGTGTTTGGCAGTAAGTGTTACATTCTGAGGGATAGAGAAAATCTAGGCTAGTTTGATTCCAAAAGTGATGGTGGGATTTTTCTAGGATATTCTACGAACAATAGAGCCTACAGAGTTTATAACTTGCATACTCAGAATGTCTTGGAATTTGTAAATGTTGTTATTGATGATGCCTTTACTGAGGGGGAGAGTGCTAAAAATAGGGTTGAGATAGAAGATCTAAGTGAAGATCAAAAACCCATTGCTGAAAATAAAGAGCAGTCAATTCCAAAATCTCCACGCTCCTCAAAAAACATATCTGAACAGGGTCTACCCAATTGGGATCAGTCTAAGCTTCCTATAGAACCATCTTCCAGGGTCAAATCTAATCATCCTAAGGTTAACATCATTGGGGATTTAGATGAAGGTATGAGGTTACAAAAGAGAGTTCTAAATAACCTAACATATACTAGTTATATATCCCAGATTGAACCTAAGAAAGCAGAGAAAGCCCTTAGAGATGAATGACATGCATGAGGAGCTTAATCAATTCGTTCGAAATAATGTTTGGAATCTAGTTCATAGGCCTGATGACTATAATGTGATAGGTACTAAGTGGATCTTCAAGAACAAAATCGATGACCAAGGTACTATAACTAGAAATAAGGCTAAACTAGTTGCCCAGGGGTACACTCAAGTGGAAGGGGTAGATTTTGATGAGACTTTTACCCCATTTACTCGTCTTGAGTCCATTCATATTCTTTTTGCGGTTGCATGTACCTTAGGGTTCAAGTTATATCAAATGGATGTTAATAGTGAATTCTTAAATGGAATACTTCAAGAAGAGGCGTATGTTGAACAGCCGAAATGATTCATTGACCCTAAGTTTCCTCATTATGTCTACAAACTCAATAAAAGCACTGTATGGTCTGAAACAAGCTCCTAGAGCTTGGTATGACAGACTCACCACTTACCACATTGAGCATGGGTTCTCATGAGGTGATGTTGACAGAACCTTATTCATTAGACATATTGAATAAATTATCACTGTAGCTCAGATTTATGTCAATGACATCATCTTTGGCTCTCTCATTGACTCCCTTGCTCTTGAATTTGCTGAATGCATGAAACAAGAATCTGAAATGAGCATGGTTAGAGAGCTAAGTTACTTCCTTGGTTTTCAAGTAAAGCAAACTGATTGTGGGTTGTTTATCTCTCAATCAAAATATGCCAAAGACCTTGTGAAGAGATTTGGCTTGGACAGTAAGAAACACACAAGGACACCCATGAGCACAAATGTTAAGTTAGGACATGATCCTACAGTTAAGAGTGTTGATCAGACTGTGTATAGGAGCATGATAGGCAGTCTACTATATCTTACAGCCAGTAGACCTGACATAGCGCTCAGTGTTGGAGTATGTGCTAGATTTCAAGCTGATCCTAAGGAGTCCTATCTAGGTACAGTGAGGTGCATTATTAGATATGTCAATAGGACAGTAGATCATGGGATCTTGTATTACAGAGAGTCCAACCTAGAACTAGCCGGTTATTCTGATGCCAATTGGGCCAGAAATGCCGATGATAGAAAAAGTACCTGGGGTGGATGTTTCTATGTTGGTTCTAATCTTGTCTCATGGATGAGTAAGAAACAAAACTCAGTTTCCTTGTCCACAGCCGAGGCAAAATACATTATAGTTGGTAGTTGTTGCACTCAACTGCTTTGGATGAAGTAAATGCTGAGTGACTATGGGATAAATCAGGGTACTATAACTGTTTTCTGTGATAATACTAGTGCTATCAACATATCAAAAAATCATGTTCAGCATTCTAGGACCAAATACATTGACATTCATCATCACTTTATTCGAAAGCTAGTTGAGTCTAATGTGATATCTCTTGAACACATCTCTACTGAAAATCAACTTGCCGATCTGTTCACTAAACCTCTAGATGGGTTTAGATTCGAGTCACTTAGAAAGGTTGTTGGCATTTGTGTTCCTCCCTGATCGTCTTCATAGATACATGCATTCTTTTCTGCATTCATTACATTGCCTATTTGTGTTAATTTGCATCTGTCTTTCACTTTGTTTTAAAAATAATAATAATAATAATAATAATAATAATAATAATAATAATAATAATAATAATAAAATAAATATTAAAAAATAAAAATAAAATAAAAATGGGGGATTGATCATTACGTGTCATTTTTGCATTGTAGTTGTTTACTCGGAGTTGTAATTTGAAATCAAATGTGCATTCTACACATGATTAGTTTCTAATTTCCATCACTTATCTTGAGTCTGTATGGAGTACTTAGTATATGTCACTTCATATTATGGGATTGAACGTAAGATTAAAATAAATAGACGTCCTTAATGACAGGGGGAGAAAGAACAGTTTTACACCATATTTTAACGAAGTATAGGTCCTAGTGGCATTGGATTTGACCTTCAAACGTCTAAGTGTTGACTCCTACGTCAGTGATTTGGCCGTCTCTTCTCACAAATTTAAGGTTTTGAGTCTTACTTGCTTGGAATGAGTGGAACGTTTCACGAGGGGTCACATATACAATTTACTCCATCTGTCCTTGGTCCCGGTGTATGGGGAAACATTTTCTAATCACTGTGCATGCCGTATTTGTGATCTATTGCCTTTGATTGGACCAACTGCCTCTGCATTGTTCGTGTATTTTAAAAAATTTTGGGGTCAAAATTCAAATTTCTGAAAAAGGTGCTATTTTTGAAAATTTCTGAAGTGCAGTTACTTTGCAAAAGTTTTAAACCTGGGCCTAACTTTTCACATTTTCAAGTTTAAGTGCTATTTTTGATATTTTCCCTTCGCTCGCTTGACGTTGGAAGCTCGCTCGTGGGACAAAATCAGAGTCTTGTCGCTCGATGTTTGCTCGAGCCTCGCTCGAGCAACAGCGAGACTTTTAATTTTCTCGCAAAGCGTTCCAGGTCATTTTTTTCATTTTTTCACATCTCTCTCTCGCATTTTCTTTCACGAAGAGCCTTTTCGATCGATTTGCACTTCATTTCGTGCGTGTAGGGCCTCAATTCCTTATCCTTGTGTGCATTCCTTGGTGTTTCCTTGTTCCCAATTGGTAAGTGCATTCCTAAACCCACTCGTTTGTTTGTTCTTGTTTTTTTTCTTCTTCGCCATTTGGAAACTTTGAGATTGGGTGGTTCTTGAATGCTGGATCGATGGTGTTGTTACGGTATGTTGGGTGTCCATTACGTTATTGCATTTGTAGGTTATCTTCCTTGTGTTTCAAATGCTTGCAAGGTGTTTGATGAAATGTCTCATCTCCACAACCTTACTTCCCTTGCCCATTGTGTGCCATTCCTCGTGTATGATTGGTGTCTTAGGTACACAATATGTGAATTAATTATTTCTTTGATCTTATTTCCAATAACGTGACAAACACACTTCCCCGATTAAGTCATCAAACTTTACAACAATCACCTAACAAGTCGGTGCTTAAACCTGACAGATTGTGCATGTACCAAGTTTAGAGGGTGTGTATGCAATGGGAATCATCAATTATCAATAGAAATTGGAAATTATTTATGTGTGTCAAAATCTCATATTGATCTTGTTCACGTCTAGTTCACGTCACTTACGTGTTGGTCATTGTCCTTAGGCTTGTGTGTGATTGAACTTTAGGGCTTGTGCAGTCATATGTCTCCATAAATTCGTTTTCCTTGAGGATTGATTTATCTTCTACATCTCGCATTGTAGATGGCACCTAAGAGGGCTAGGACTACAGCTCAGCCTGGTAGTGGATCGACTTCGTTTAGTCGTTCTAGGTTCATTTCCTCTACTGCTCAAGAGGTATTTGGGAGCCAGTTTTCCCGTCATCCTGTCCTAATAGAGCGTGACGTCACTCTATCCGACCTATCCCTTGATGTAGCAGCTATCTTTACTTCTCGAGGTTGGGAATCCTTGTTGATTGGGTTAAATCTCCCGCCTAGTCTTCTTGTTCAGGAGTTCTATGTGAACATCCATGACATTAGTGGTTCGTCCTTCCGGGTGTTCCTTCGGGGTCAAACCCTTAGGATTTCTCCAGATGTTATTTGCAGTTCCATACATGTTCCCCGGGTCATTCACCCCGTTTACCCATATCTCTCGACTGATTCTATTCTGGCCGACTCTCTGGTTCGGTCCACTCTGTTTAATAGCCCTTTCGAAGGTGGGCCTGAGGCGATCCGCATTAGTTCGCTCCCCATTGATCGACAGATTTTGTTGCGCATTGTGTGTACAAATCTGTGGCCTGTCTCTCACACTTCTTCCCTATCTATGGAAAAGGCGAGATTTCTTTTTGCTTTGCTGCATGGGGATTCGATTGACCTACCTACCTTCATTTGCCAGCACATTCTGTGTACCTTTCGCACTTCCAGTCATAGGATTGGTCTTCTTTATGCTTGCTTGATCTACCGCTTGGGGCTTCATTTTCCGATGCGGTCTCACGACGAGTACTTCATCCCATAGGGCACACTACCATCTCTCAAAGTAGGTCACGTCACTTCCTCTGCTTCTGCATCTGCTCTTGCTAAGCCAGCTGAGCTATCGACCCAACAGTGCCCTCTGATCCTTTGGGTGATTTACTTGTTGATCTCTCGGCTATTCCTCCGTCCACTTCCGATATTCCTTCTTCTTCCACTTCTATTCCACCACCTGCCCAGCCTACTCTGACTACTATTCCTGTTGACCCCACTATCGTACTTATGGGTCAGATGTCGATTCTCATTGAGTAGCAGGCCCGCATGATGGTTGACATTACTCAGTTACGAGCTGCTTTAGAGCGTCATACTGCGGAGTTTGCTACATTGCGAGGGGCTATTGCTCTTGTTCAGCGCGATATTCGATGGATGCACGAGCACTGGGATTATAAGTCTGAGGCTGAGGATTCTGTGGACGTGGATGGAGGAGATGATGATCCTGCTTAGTTGCTTGGGGTTCTCCTTGCCATTTGTGACAAAAAGGGGGAGTGGGTGCTAATTTTTGGGATTTGTAATGATAAAGTACTTTGATAATGTACTATTGATATTTTTGGCTAGATTATGTGTTGATGCTTTGGACTATTGATGCATGTTTTTGGTGGTATGACTTACATTGATATTGTCTCTTAATCTAGCATATTGGTACAATTTTATGGCTATTCATGACTCTTTATCTTTTATGTTTACTATATCACTGTTCCTCGTGCTTTTACACTGGGTATGTGAGTTGTGATTTCAGGAAATAGGTTGAAAGATGACAAGGCAACAGTGAGTTGAGTCAATGTATTGGACTGTCATTATAGTTCATGCTACTGTAATTTGGTTTTGTTACAGAATGTCAAAGGGAGAGTTTGTTAGATTTTGTGTTGGCTATTCTGTGAACAAAAGGGTAAAATTGTAAATGTTCAATAGTTTGGGGTCAATTTGTCAATAGTTAAAGGTTAGGGGTCATTGTGTACATGTGTAAAAGATGAGGGACTCAGTTGTAATTTTGACAAAGTGTGCTAGGGTTCAAGCTATGAAGTAGGGCAAGATGTGTCGTTGAAGTTTCGCTAGCTGCTCACCAAGTGGTCGCTCGAGCAACAAAAACAGAAAGGTCGTCGCTGGTTTCTCGCCCCCACTTCGCTCGAGGGAAACAATGTCGCTCGCTTTTCACTTGAGCGACAGTGTAACCCATAAAACCCTATTTTTCTTTTTTCGACATTTTAACCTGACCAAAAGATCCAAATACATTGCATATAAGAAAAATTGCGCCGATTTTCAGTTGTGCTCTAAAGGGATTGAAATTGAATAAAACTCACTACACTTTGATCCTCTTATTCAACCCCATATTTGATTTGAGCAATTACATTAAAAATATCAAATCAACATTCACCAAACACCACAACACAACCTTCTAGAGCCTTTGTTGATTCTTGGAGATCGAGGAAGGAGATCGGAGTCCCGATCATTAGAGAACAGGCGGTTCTCTTGAATCTACAGGAGATAGACAAAATCAAGAGCCGAGAATTGGTATAGCATGCAATCCAGGAGGGCTAGGTACCGGGAGTTGGTGCAGAATCACGCATTCCAGAAAGGCTTTGAGGAAACTATGGTCAGGATGTCAGAAAAGCCAGTGTAGATTGAGTCTGATTGATTGTAAGTTTCATTTTCGTTTATAGTGGATTCGTACTGGCTTGGGCCCGGAGTTTTACCCACATTGGGGCTTCTTCGTCATCAAACAATTGTGTTATTTATCTTTCTGCAATTAATTTAAGACCGGTATTCAAACATAGGATAGTAAAGCATGTGAGCTGATCTAGACAAATTAATATTTGTGACGTGTTGCAATTACTAATTGATTGAAAAAGAAAATTCCGCATAAACACCTATTTACCCCCCCTAGGTATTGATTGGGCCCAAAAAAAAGTTCGAATATTTTACTCGAGCCAAGCTCGAGCCTAAAATTTTGGCTCACGAGCCGGCTCGGCTTGGCTCTTCGACTCGTTGACATCCCTATGTTGATGACATGTTGATTATGAGTAATCACATATGTGGAATATACGAAACAAAGATGTTTCTATCTTCCACATTCAAGATAAAGGATCTTGGACAAGTAAATACCATTTTGGATGTTAGAGTCACAAAGACTAGTGGGTTATCATCCAAGTCAATTACATTATATCGAGATTGTAATAAACAAGTTCAAAACGTAAAGGAGTATAGTACTCGATTGATCCAAGTTCAAA